CATCAAGATTCAATTTTTTCGAGCTCGGAAGGTGATATTCGTGATCAGCATGACCTGGTGAATCAGAATATGTATAATAAAGCCAAAAATAAATTTCACTGTCAGTTTGCTTTCCGTGCACCTTACTACTAATTTGTTTGCATTGCATATTTAGAATGTGTTTTAAGTCGACTTTTGTTATAAAGAAATGTGTATATTAATTGTCTTCTTCATAACTGCATTAACCTGTACCTTCTGTTACTTTTCCCTTTTGATTGGGTCATCCATAGAATACCTGGCGGACATTTTTCCATGTTTTGCAAATGACGTAGTAAGAGTAGTAGTTGTTTGCATTAGATCGGTTGTCCCTTTTTTTACTGAGAAACTGAACTGAACTGAACTGAGTTTCTGAGTCATCAGACCGTAAATTTTTCTATCACCCAATCAGAAAAGTTCAGTAAAAAAAGGGACAACCATTAGATCTTCTGTTGTAACATTATCATTAATACTTTTAATCAGAACTTTTTGATAAACTTCGAAGTAAATCATACTTCTGTATTGAGAGTGTAAAGGCAGATTTTTCTCGTCTTCTGCAATATAAAATAGTATTTCTATCAGCCTCTATTGATGTTCAGTTTTACTTTTGGAAGAACTGGCCATATATGTAGATTTAAACGTTATGATTATTTTTATGCACACTGGGAATGATAGAACATGAGTGATGTCACACCACTGTCATCATTCATTCTTTCACATCACTCATGTGAAAGAATGAAAAAAAAAACAGTTGATGTATTTGTTTATCTGTAAGCGTGCATTTCTGTCTTCTCTGATAGATTTCATTCATTTATACGGTTTTAATGACAGAAACAAAAGTAATAGTGAATAGTCTCCAAATACTATAAAAAAAAACGTATTTCTAGTGCATGTCTACCTTTTTTTTTATACTTCCGACTGTTTTTGCGACTACTCTGAAGTTTGTACCAATGAAAAACGGAATAGAAATTCACTTTTTAAAATGGATCATCATTTTACTCTCGCCTGATCCACTAATCGTAATAAACGCTTCAGTTCCATCCTTAAACAAAATATATGTAAAAGATGGCTGTAGTAACCAAAGTTCATTTATGAAATGAGCCTCCGATTTTCGATGTCAAATAAAAACTTGCCTTTGAAGACCTTTCTGTTTACTGTTGAATCATGCAGACATAAACCGAATTGATGATTGATAATTTATTTTAGTATATTGAACTAAACAATTCAAGAGTGTATCAATCTCACTAAAAATGTAGTGAAGCAGTATCACACTTTTACTACGCATATGGAACAAAAAGCATGATGTTTATAACTTTTACTCTACCAATAGAAGATCGTTGTCGTTCTAGCAACGTACTTTTTGTTATTTAAGTGTAACATTAGCACAGTAACAGCGTGTCATAGTTGCTTTATTGGAGATTGTGTGTTAAACGATGAAACCAGTTTTTTATCGTGATTTTTCCATGTTTTTGTCATAATGCTTTTACAGTGTTTTTCTTATGTTTAACTCAGACAAGTGTGAAATGTCCACATCACATTTGTGTATTCAACTAGATTTCCTAATATAATATTTATATAATATAATACATATAGTATTAATATTAATATTATTAATTTATATTAATATTAATAATTTATATATAAGATATTTAAACAGCTGATAGAAGTCGACATGTGTTTAAAGTAGAATCCAGTTATCAATTAATGTGTATTCCTCCATAAATTATTAAGGTATGACTCTATGAGCAATTATTTGCCAGGGATACTCATGCATAAAGGAAAACTATGTCATCGCCACAGGACCATGAAGATCAATAGCTATTTTCGCTAACAACTCGAAGTAGAACTATCGTATTTTGACTAAGAACTCTTAAATGTGTTGGTCAATCATGCCGACTTCTTTAATCTTCTTTTGATTTTAGATCTATCACGAGAAAAATGGCAACACCAAAACTATCTGTTACTACTGCGAAAAAAGAAGATATTCCATCTTTGAAAGCAAAGATTGCAGAGGTAAAATATTGCTTAATATTATACAATGATTACAATTTGCTTTTTTCTCGTGTAATAGCTTGAACGACAAAATGCCGAATATAAAACAAAATTAGATGAATTAAGACGAGCAAAAGCAACAACCATGGTTAAAGTTGAAAAAGAATATGTCAATGCAAGT